GCCATGAAATGTTCAGAATTATTACAATAATAGCAAAGAGCTTTGTTCTGTGTAAAGTTAGGTTTTGAGTTATTTTCTCTTTCTGCAGTATAGACTGTGTAAGGTTGTGAAGTTTGTTAAGCTTATAGTGTTGGTTGAGGTTGAGTCATGACTGAGTTAATATATAGTTAGATAGTTGTTTGATAATGTTATTAATATCATCTTTTTCTGAAATGGCTATTACTTTTCCTAGTTCCTAATATTTTGCTTCTTTAATAGCAGCAGCTAAGTTAATAGGAACTGCTACTTGTACAGGTATTGCATATTTAGATTACAATCCTTTAATAAAAAGCTGTACAATAAAATCATTTAGGAAGCTTCTATTAGGATCTACCTTTCTTTTAAGCTTTTTAAACTAAGCAATGTATGTATCAACAGTATTGGTTTCTTGTTTTAAATTAAAGATTTCTTATTGCTATATAGCTTTCTTTTTGACTGTTTTAAATTGCTCCAAGAATCTAGGTTTAAATTAAGGATTATTACCTTTACTATATGACTGAAAATAGTCATCTTCAAGTCTTTTAAGCCAATATTCTGCATTGTCCTTTATATATGCTTAGGCAATTGCAAGTTTTTTAGCTTTAGTCCATCTGTTGACAATAGTAGCTCATTCAAATTCATTAATCCAGTTAACTGGATCTTTGTTCCATCACCTTTAAATAATACAATTTTAAAGAATGATTTCTCTGCAATTTCAAAAGTATCAACTAGTCTATTCATTGCAGCAACAGCATTGTTCATGACTCTTTTATCTTCAGAGTCAAGTTTATTAGTAATAGTTTTGTTTAAGCTTTCTGGTTCTTCTTTTTCTGATAGAGATTGTTTTTCTAAAATTTCTGTTTTTTCAGAATAGTCTTGTTCTGTTAATGGATTAAGATCTTTAATAGTTAAAGTTGTGTCTTCTTGAGTATAAGTTTCTAGATCTCAAACAAAGTTTTCAAGATCAATAGGTTGGTAATAATTAAATAGTATTTCAATAATAGGTTGTGTAGTTATAGTTTCAGAATAATTAGTTGCTTCTGGTAAGTTAAAAGTTGAAGAGATGTCTTTCTCAGTTGTAATAAGATTTTCAGTTGTTGTAAATGAAGTTTCTTCTGAGCTTAATTCAATATTAAAACAAGGCAAAAGAAGATTAAATCCTTTGATTACAAATCTAGTAAATCTATTAACTAGTCTTGATGTAATTAAGATTGAAAGTTGAGAAAGATATAAAAATCAAGTTGAAGTGTAAAAGAGTTCTCAGGTAATTTCTCTTTCTTGTAAAGCTCTTGGTTAAATAAAAAGAAAAGGTACTTCTTTTATTCTTGGTAGGTTATTTGGTTAATAATAAGTATAATGTCTACTGGTCTGATCTTTATTATATAATACTAAAGAGCTAGGGTCTACAATAGGTATTGGAGTTCAAATAGGGATAACAATAGTATTAATAGAATAAGTAGAAGTTGTAGCAGATTCTTCTACAATAATAACAGTTTCTTGTGATAATTGTTAAGAAGTAGATGCACTAGTTTCTTTCCTAGAACCTTGTACTAATTTTAATATAGCAGTCTGTAAAGCTTAAATATGTTGTTGGGCTTTAACTAAATTATCAATAAAAATATCAAATAGAGTCCTTTGATTAGCAGTAATTGATAGTACTAAATAATAAGAAGCATATTCTTGAAAGATACTTTGTACAATATCTCAAGAGTTAGTTATCTGGTTCTGATAATGACAACTAAAAATAATATTTTTAGTTGCAACTCGGGCAGCTAAGCATCCAGCAGTAACTAGTCTTAAAAAGTTGGAATAAGCAACTTTACTAAAAGAAATAGCTTGGTAGTTTTTAAAATACCAAGTCCAAAATGCAGTAAAGCATCTATGAAGGTTAAGAGGTAAATAATACTGTGGTCAAGATAAATCAATTGCAAGGGTTTGCAATACAGTTGTAGTAAGAGAGGGGTTTTCACTATAAATTTGTTGATGTTTTCAAATATTTTCTAAATGAAATCGAGTGAGAAAGTCTTCCATAAAAATAAATTTCTTTGAGAAGAGTTAGTACTAACAAGTAATAAAATAATAAAATAAAATAATAAAATTGAGAGAATAAATCTAAAATAATAGTACTAGCAAATAAAGAATTCAAGTAATCAATTAAAAGTTTAAACAATTCAAAATATATTCATTGGCCAGTAAGTAATATTAAAATCAAAAATCAAATCAAAATTATTTCAAAAATCAAAAATTCAAAAATAGAAGGTAAAAACATAAACTTCTTCAATTTCAAAATACAAAATACAAATGCAAAATACAAAATAATTTAATTTAATTTGAGTTAGTAGAGGTATACCTAATAATAATTCCAAAATTTCAAATGCTTTTTTACAATTGCTACTTCCAAAATAAATTTCTTCCTAGAAAGAGAATTGCTTTCTAGAATAGTTTCCTTAAAAGAGGTTTCTGTTCCTTTTCTAAGATAATTTTTATATATTCTATCAGAAAACACCAAAATGTTACAGGGTTGTAGCCTTCTTGATACAATACAACCAAGTAACAAGGTTACCCAGTACAGTGATTAACTATTGCAAATGTATACAGGTTGAGGTATAGTAGTTCACTTTACTACACAGTAGCAGGCAAATAGTTCAAGATAGTAACAGTATATAGATTAACTTTTTATTAAATAAATACACAGTAACAACCTTGTTTGTAGGAATTACTCTAGAGAAGGAATATCACTTTTACAAGTTAAAGGTAAAAGTAGAAGAGTCTAGGCTGAAATATAGAAACTTAGAATTAGTAGAGAAGAATAAAAGCTACTGTTTATATATCTTTTTACCTAGCGAGAATAGTAAGAATTTAAGTAATATTACTTGATACTGTACTTGGGTAATAGAGGTTCGAACAACATTAGATATTATTGTACTTGAGATAATGAAGATTCGAACAACATTAAATAATATTGTGCTTGGGGTAGTAAGGACTGTGCAGAGACAACTGGGGATATTGTTTATGTTATTTGTCATTCATGCTTGAAACACTTAGGACTTGTGTTTAGGTACTTGGATCTATGCAAAGACATTTAGAATTTGTACAAGGATACTTGGAGTTTATGCAAAAACACTTGAGGTTTGTGTTAGAGATATTTGAAATTCTTGTGTTGCAGTACTTGGTATAGTAACTTGGTATAGTAATTTGGTGTTAGAATATATAAAACTTGTACAGAGATACTTGGGTTTGTAAAACAATAATAACATCACAGATGTTGCTTAGTATTATGTGACTGTATTACATTTCTAATAGCAATTAAGATCCTTTTATCTATTATATAATATAACTATTAACTAACTAATAACTAATAATAAATATAATATAAAATACAATAATGAATATATATATAATTACTAATACTACTATATAATATATTATGCTAAAATCTACTTTGTAACAGTAGTACTAGATTAACTGTAAGTATGAAATATAGAAAGCTCTAGTGGACTTAGTACAGTACCAGACAGTAAAAAACACCCAATGTTTATTAATAAAAACTTTGAAGTAGTATAACTTTTTTAAAACAGGTTAAATCAAAAAACATCTGACAAATTGATAGATTTTTGGATAAACTACATTTCTGTCAAAGGATTTTTTTTTATTCTTTATTTTAAAAAAGTTATAAAAGATTAAAGTTTATATATGTTTAAAAATTGGCATTTAATATAAAAAAAAAGAAAAAATAAATATATTTTTAACTAATCAAAATCAATTATACAAAAATTAACCAATCAAAACTGATTATATAAGAACCAAAAATTGGTGCCTATATGTATTGATTGGATGTTTTTTACTGTTTTGTACTATACAAAGCTAAATATGACTTAGTAACTATAACATATTTGTAGTTAATTTGTAATTGGTAAGATAGAAATGAATACTAAAACTAAATTGTTTAAATAGAAAACTTACAAGTAGGTTCTAAGTATAACAACTAATGTAGAATCTTTAAATAGACTACTTAAAATAAACAATAACTAAAGTTATATGATTGGCTAGTTGTACATTCTTTTTATAATTATCTCAATAGCTGTTATATATAATAGTTATATGTCAACAAATTACCAATAAACTTCTAAGTCACAAGTACTTGTCTTAACATTAAAAAAAAATCTTTTTTAATAGTTTAAAAAAATTTTTTTATTATATATTATTGTTTTAATTTATTGTTTTTTCTTTTTATATTGTTTTATTTATTTTGTTTCTTCTTTTTATTATCTTGTTATGTATAGTATACATATTGATTTAAGACTAACTTTATTTATATTTAATATTAAACTTTATATTATAATTTTATTTTTGTTTTTAATTTTTAATTTGATAATATACATAAAGTTTTTTTCTTAAATATTTACAATATATATAAATTTATGCATATAGACTATTTAGTTTTTTTAATTACATTAATTATATAATAACAGATCAATACTTGAATTAAATAATTGATTTTTACTAAAATAATTCAAATCTGCCTTATAAGTAAACTTGATTGATATAAAATTTTATATAAAATCTTATTAACAAAATATTTATAAATCTGTTAATGCCACCTTCTACTTTTGCTAATGCCACCTACTTTATATAAAATATTTAATTTCTGACTTTTCTGATCTTAATTATTAATTAGAATTAGATTATGTAAAAGAAGTGCCATTAGCAAAAATAAAAGGTGGCATTAACAGGTTTCAATATTTAAGGTTTAAAGTATTTAATTCTAAAATTTAAAAAATAAATCATTTTGCAAGTTAAAAATAATATTGAGCTCAAAGTTTATAGATAAATTTATATATTTTTATTTATAATTTTTATTATAATTTATCACTCTATATGGCATATTCTTGACTGATAATAAATTACAAACTTGTTTATAGGCAATAATTAATTTTTTTTATGCAAACCTCAAAATAAATTCAACAAATCATTTGACACACCATTATTTTGATTATTAGAAGGTTGCGTAGGCGTTATACTATTACCATTGAATAAATCCAATAAATCGTCCACATTGGCAGTTGGCGTGAAAGACATGGAGGATGACGGAAGGGATGATGTGGTTATAACAGCAGCAGTTGTAGTATCACTGAAGTCTAAATCCAATAGATTCTCAATATTTGTTTTAGTTTGAGCCTGGATCGGCGACTCTCGAGAAGCCTCTTCTTGTTCCCTATAATAAAAGGTTAATATATGGTCAATCAACTTAATTGATTTTGAATAATCTAGAGTTATCATACTCGATAGCCCGTCTTTGAACGGCGTCAGCGCCAAAACGACCTCTTCCCAAGAACGTTTCAGGAGGTTTATGATATACGCTGGCAAGAGTCGAGATGTTACTAATCAGCTCTTCAAGTAAAGAACTAGATATCGTGTTACTTTGAACGGATATTGGAGGTTTATCTGACAGAACAACAGCCTAAAGAAATGATCAGGCAATTATTGCAAACGTAAATCGGTCCTTGACTGCGTTGTTATCATGAAGGGATATGAAAGCCAAGACAGTACCTTGGCAGCCTGAGGATCTGTCGATAATAATCTCCAATAAATATATGCACGATCTCTGATGTCAGGATTATCACATTCAGACGTGGCGGTCTGTAGAGTACGTTGTACAATATTTTGTGTTGGTTGTGGTTTTTTGAGGAAAAGTTTTACGGTCGCGGTAACCAACTGTAATTGAACCTTAACAAAAGTTTCCACATAAAATAATCAATAATTTAATATAAATATACTTTGAATGATTTAAAATTAACGCAGACATTTCACATACCTGAGAATTTTCATCCCGAAATGTATCCAAAAATGTAACAATTAATTCGTCAGCATTTTCAATTCTCTCAGCATATTCACCAATAATCCAAATTAAGGAAGCCTTTGCTTCTGGTTCATCTAATGCATCCAAATTTTGGCATAATGTTTGGATAATCGCTTCATATTTATGTGGATATTTTCGAAATATATCCTAACATCATAAAGAGTATAGATAAGAAAATAATAAATGAATAAACAATGTTCACAACCATACCTTGATAACAACGATTGCTTCCTGAACTACATAATTAACTTTAGTATTAATCAAATCTAGCAAAACATTAACACATCTTTCCGAGGCTTCACTAATCTTGATGGCACATTGTCCAATTGCTCGAACAGATTTTCTTACAAAATCAACGTCTACTTCAGATGCATATCTAATTAAAATATAAGTTACATGGAAATGAACATTTTGAACACCATTCTTCCCAACTTTTCTTTTTTTCGAATCTTACTCTTTTAATTCCGATAATAATTGGTCAATATTTTTTTCATTAGCCAACTTGATCATAATTTCAAGTTTTTCAAGTTTTACGTATGGAGGATCATTATATTTGCAGAAGAAGACACGCATTTCGTTTGCTAAAATTTCAGGTCGTTTTTGTAATATAATGTTGATGTTTCTTAAGGCAACATATTGAACTTCAGGTTCAGATGCCAATAAAGTAACTGAACATAAAGGCAATAACTTTGTCAAAGACTTTGGAAAATACAAAAATATATATGTATTTGATTCATTAGAAAGTTACAACATACCAAGAGGAGGAGCCATTTTTCTAACTAACTGTCGTATTGCCTCATCATTTTTTATTGTTCTCATATAAATCATTACCACCTAAAAATATAAGCGAAATTAAATTTTTTTTTTTATGGAATTAATTTCGCCAATACTTCAAACAATATATTACATAAATTTATACCTTAATTGCAGACAATACTACACTTCCATTTACATGCTGAAATTGTGGAACAACACGTTCAACAATATGTTCTGCTTCTTTAGAGTCTGCTGGTTTATATTCAGCCAGTGCAGCAAGAATAGCTATCCGACCCCATCTTTTCAAATCATTTAGAAATAAATATAAAAAAGGTTAACACGAAAACTTGAATTTTGTTTCAAGAAAATATATAATAAGAAAATCAAACGCACTCTGTACATTCATTAAGTGCCACCAATAACTTTGTAAGTGTTGGCGTATTGATTATAAAAATATCTTTGGTAGAAGAAGACTCGTTTATTTCTGCAAGTGCTGTAACAGCATTTGCAACAACCTAAATAATAAATTATAAAGAGTAATTGTAAGGGAGACTCAATGGCATTCAACTAAAATATTAAAATAGTCAGCAAATTTAAAGATGTTAAAGTCGCGTACCATCGGATTGGAATCCGATACCATATCTTGCAAAACAGAAACAAAACCATTATCTATTGCTAAACTAGGACTTAAATCATATAACTTTGCAACACATATAGCCGCAGTTTTTCGAACATAAGGATTCTCATCCTAAATGTAAAAGAAATACATATATTAAAAACGCACATATATAATTGAAATAAGAGAGAATATAATAAATGGAAAAACATACCCTTAGACACTTCCTCAAAGGTTCACAAAGATAATCAATAATTTTTTCAACGCGGATGCATCCCATGGTTCGAATGGCAAGTGCACGAATCAATGGGTTACTGTCATCCGTATCCTTTATATACACATTGAAAATTAGAAAAGTTATAACATCCAATGATCCATAATATGAAAAAAAAAAATACCTTTACAAAAGTATTTACGGCTAAAATTACTAATTCTGGTTGCGTCTTTGCGTAATTCATTAAATATAAATATACTAATTTCTTTTGCTCTAAATCGTCTGTTTGCATATTTTTCAATACGTCGGGAAACAAACCCGAAACATCTTTTCCTACAGTCATATTTGCGATAACTTTTTTAATAGCATCTTTTCTCCGATCTCGGTATTCACTATTTAGGTCTGCTCGCAATTCATAGTTCTCTCCTTAGATTTTAAAATTGATAAGGAAACAAAAAGAATAATCTTATGGTTAACATACAATCTATTTTGTATTTTTTTTTTACGAATTAATATTTCTAAACATTCGAAATTAAGGATCGCGAAGCCACAATAATTTTTTTTAAAAAATAAAATAAAATAAGCAGTGATCGCTCAAAATTTTAAAGTTCTTCAATACGCATAAAATGCAAGACTATTGAGTCAAGCCAAAGGCTAACCTTTCTTTGGCGTGGAAAAGAAGTTTGGCCTTGAAATTCGAAAATCTGTCATTATAGCTTTTACAACACTGGAAACAACTCGTGTTTGGTATGTCGAGTCTTTAATTGATAGGTTATTATCTGAACGTGAGGTCATCATCGATTAATTGCAGAATACACCATTACTGTTACACTTTATTATTGTGTAATCAATGATCGATATTTACGATGTTGGTGCATACCAGTTTTAAGACCTTTTCTGCGCCCACCACCCGCAGAATTACATATCAATATGCATTTGAGAACTTAAATAAAATACAACGTATATTTATATTATTTTAAACGTACAATTATAAGACTAAAGTTAAACTTAATAAATTGACCGATTTTATGAAATGTGCACTAACAGAATGCCCATCACAGATCATTATAATTATTTTTTTTTTTTACGAATTGTCTATATATAGGTTGAAATTGGTTAATAGGGAATAAAGAAGAATTAAGCGAATTCACGGTATTAATCTGGGAAGGTCTTGAGGCATTTATTGAGGAAAAGGATTAAACGTATTTGGAAGTATAGAAGACCTTCTAAATGGATTACTATCTATTTCTAAGTGTGTAGTAGACTGAATTGGCGTTACTTGCATAGATTGTTGAGGTAATTGTTGAGTTTGAACAATATTCATAGAAGTAAATGGATTATAAGACGAAGAGGATACAGAAGATTGGAATGGGTTTTGTTGAGGTGGCAAAATCGAAGATCTGTTAGAGGACATATCTTGACCAAACATGGTAGATCGAAACGGATTAGTATCTTGAGGAGTCAAAGGTGATTGAATTATCTGAGGTTGTGAAGAAAATTCGGTCATATGTTGATGTTGAATCCCTATAAATGGGTTGGTAACGCTGCTATTCAATGCGCTAGTAGGTGTATACGTTTGAAGTGGTCCAAAAATCAAAGTTTGTTCTTGTTCTATGCTTGAAAAAAAATCAATAAAATCTTTTTCTTTTGATGTTTTGGTAACAATCGGAGGAACAGAAGTTTCTACGCCTATAAGTGGAGTTATAAATTTTATTATGGTTATAAAAACAATAAATTTACTAATAAATTGTTAATTATTTTACTTTTTACAGTAGTTTTAGACGTGAAATTCGCAGTGTTTCTGGTATCAGCAGTTTGTTTGTCCTGTTTTAAGGCATTATTCTTATTTTCTTGTAAAAATTTATACTGTCTTCTGTTTTCTTCGAATTCCGGATCATTGACATAATCTTCTAGAGTAGCTGTTAGCGATGTAGGAGCCTACCAATAATTTATTCTCAGAAAATTATATCTATGTTTAATAATGACTGCATATTCAGAAAATAACCAAAGTGATGGCTCACATGTTTAAGATTAGGAACGCTCATTCTAAGAGCTGCTTGCATTTTTTTGGCTATGCTAAGGTAATCAACAACCTTTTCAGTCTGCTGGACATATTTTTTATAAATCTGCAGAGAGGTTTTAGCATCAATTCGTGACATTTCTACATAATGTTCTACATGGGAATGGATATGACATTAAAACATATGATTAATTCGAATGTAATAATAATACATCCAATTACCTAGAACATTGATGACTCCTTCATTAATAGCTTGAAACAATGTAAGCAAATCCTCAACAAGGAATCGAAATGCTGTCAACGTTACTTCGTTATCTACTTCATCTATAAAGAACTAATACGAAATTATTCTAAATGAGTTTTTAAAGCTCGTAAGCATTAAATAAAAAATGTATATGTTAGTCAAAACCTTGCAATTTAGTAAAGCCGTTATTTGACGTTGAAGTATTTCGACCTCCCGTAAAAGTCCCTTATCGACTGAGAGTTTTCTTAAACGGCTATCTCCATTTTCTAATTTTTCTCTGACAAAATCGATTTTTAAGTCTCGGTATACAGCTACTTTCTCTTCAATATACGCGGCATATGTATGAATATTTTTAGTTTGCTCAGCACCTATAATGATTAAGAAAATTCATGTTACAACAAACCAATGGCTTGATTAGGATGAAATTATGCCATGGTCTGCATACCTTGAGTCCCTGATTTATCTTTAAAGCTTGATACATTTAAGATGGTTGGTTCTCTCGCCAAAAAATTTAAAACACGAGAATTCGAACCCTGTCTCATCATAACGTGAATAACAATAAGACTCTTGAAAACAACCTTTTAAATTTTACGAAAAAAAAGCAATTAATGAAAAAGAAGAGAAATTTACAACTAAGACTGAAAAGTTGCGATCTTACTGTCCAACTAGTTTCCTTTAAACGATGATTAATATGCCTTAGCGCTAACGCTAAAGTAGCTTCATCTGACGTTGCATCTATTAATACTAGAATAACGACATCACTTAATTCAAGTAAATTTAGGATCTATAATACATTGGTTTTATATAATACCTTTTAGATACTTTGTTTTCGGGGCAGCACGCTTAGGCTTTGTTGCTCTGCGAACTGCCTTTTCCATTACTTTTGATTGACTTTTTAAGATAGAGGATAAATTGTTGAAAAAGAGTGTTTATTTTTAATGAAAGTACTTTCGTTCCTTTCGAACGTTTTTAAAGTTAATAAAAAATAAAATATAATTAAATTAATTTGGCTCCAATTAAAAACTAATACTCACGTGCGTTGATCAAAAATTATCTGATCTTTTTATACTAGGAAACGAGAACCGTTGTAAGTCCGGAGCATCACATGGTTTCAGATTAAGTGATGCAATGCAATCAGACCAGAGATGACACGTTATATAATATTGAACATTTGCACATTTCGATTTAGATTGGACACAAAAAATATATATACGTAAAATACTAAGTCTGGAGCGAAGCTCATAGGCAGGAGTTTGTCTGATTGGCTAATAAATTCAGTTTAGAAAAAAAGCGAAAACTAATCATAATGAAATAAAAAAGCTGTATATAAGGTTTCATTACTCCATATCCAAAAATAAAATCAACTTAGTAATAAACTAATTTGTTTAATTTTTACTATAAAACTTTTCCCGTTTATTGCAGCATTGAAGAAGTTCGTTTTGATTGGTTAATTGTAGATCTCGGATCATAGCTCGGATCATGAATTCATTGACTCACCTCTGATTGTAGAAATTCAATCAACCATATGTCCTGACCTTTCCGACGTTGTTAAGACCGGTAAAACTTTTGTTTCTCATTCACTTTTCTAATCTTTTGTATCTTATTGTATCTCAAGTCAAAAAACATTAGCTTTACAGCTAAAATATAGAATATTATGCCGGTTGTTGTATTTTACATATAATAAAAAATTTTTTCATTTATCACGACGATCTTTACTTATAAAAGTACTTTAAAAATTACAATTGACTGTATAAAAAAAAGATCGTCGCCAATCATATTTATTCTAATTTCAGCCAATCAAAACGAACTTCTTCAATGCTGTTTATTGCATCTAATCCTACCTAACCCTATCCTTAACTAAACAAAAAAAACTAGTTTATTTTATAATTTGTAAATATATAGTATGCGACGTATATTTTATAAACAAATATTATATTGCTAACTAATTTTTAACTATCGCCTAAGCCAAAAGTCAAAATTTTTAGCAACCTTTTTATATATTTATTTCAATGCATTATATACAAGTTGAAATATTGTTAAACTAGATCGTCTATGGAGTTGGAAAAGATGTAAAATCTTGAATAGCTAATATGTTGGTAAATCATATATATGTTGAATTGTTGGTCCTTGACGTGATCTATTTATAATTTGATCTACATTACCCATTTTTTTTATTGTTTCTATAAAACCTAAATGAATTTTCCAAAGATTGTGAACAAAATATATAAAACAGAAATTCTGTCTACGGGTAATTTATAAGGTATTGGAATATTGAAAAGTTCACGAACACGACACAATGGAGGAGCAGGTTGATCCATAATACAAATACGAAGATTTGTTTCTATTTAAAAAAATAAAAATAAGTGGGAGTGAGTCAATAGAAACGCACCATATTTTTTCTAAGTAAATTTTTTTAAAACTTTAAACATAGATAACTCAACAACAACTTTATCAAATTTAGAAAAAATTTTTATTAAATTTGGTTAAGTTTTTGCTAAGTTATTTTTGTTTAAAATTCAAAAAAATTTCATTAAAAATAATATGGTGCGTTTCTATTGACTCACCCTCAAGTATATTTTAAAATCATTCATTAAATGACAAAACAATAATACGTACCATATGCCTGTATTAGAAATAGCTCAATCATACATAACTTTTCATACAAGGATTCATAATCTAATAAAAATTGGAGATTATTGTTAATAAGTTGAGCTTCCAATTTTTGTTTTGAATCGCGTCCCAGTCGAAATAGCTTATATAAATCAGATTTGAATTTTTTAGGATCATTAACAAAAGGACCGCCGGAGTTTTCTTTATAAAGTATCTCTTGAATAGTATTATCTACTTCCATAAGAACCCAGAAGTCTGGCTTTCTTGAATTAGCTTCCTTCCTGAATTCAGAAGCCAATAATCCGGCTCCTTCCTAGTAAAAAATAAGAGCGAAATATCAATAAGTGATTCATGCAATAATAATCATTTAATCAAAATATTGTAAAAGTAAAATATATATATACCACTGCCAAAAGCCTCGCCCTTTTAAAGGGTTTGAAATTAACTTTAATAATGGGTCAATAACTAATCGACCCCACGTATCCTCTAAGCAATATTCGTGATGAATTTTATATTCCCATAAGGAAAAACTAAAAAAAATAAAAAAGTAAGACAACAGAAATATAAAAAAGGAAATTATAAAAAACATTAGACCTACAGATGTTTACAAATGTCTCAGACAAAAAAATAAAATGGCTGAAGTCGATCATTATCATTTACTGAACCAAAGTCATCATAACGCCATCTTTTGTTATCCAAATAGAATTTATTAAATAATTCCTCGAAGGTTTGTGACGGTTTCTTAAGATAATGTTCAGGAATACGAATTACTTCTTCAAATATAGGAGAAGAAATCGCATGTAGGAAATTTTTCTGCGGTTGAGTTAAATCTATTATAAATGATAGTATTGGATTATCATATTCAAGCATCTTAATTTCATCCCAAACAATAGTCCTAGCAAATGCTCTTCCAATATCTATGGATTCTTTATTATGATTAATTATCCACTTCGACGGATTTGTCTAAAAATGTAAATTTTTTTAAGTAACAGTTAAAATAAAAAATATATACTCAATACTATATTACCTGCAAATACATGTATATTTTAAATGTTTCTTGTCTTTTTATATCACCTTCAACAAGTTTGTTTGGTAGAAGTTTCTTCTGCTCAAGAGTTGTGTTGTATTCATTTTCGCACCAATCAACGAACGCACGAGGATCTACAAGACGAAGTTGAAAAAATTTTGCTGTATCGCAATCCTTCTCTAGCTTATAATATATAAAAAATTAGATATTAGTAAAGAATTTAGAGTAACTTACAAAAAAAAAGTTCTAATAATCCATCATTCATGACTATATTATATAGCATAAATTGCAAGCGACGTAAATGAACGTTACAAACGAGAGCAAATAAACATTGCGAACGAAAGCAAGCGACATAAATGACCGTTGCAAATGAGAAAGAATAACTTCTAACCGTCTAGCATGTATATAATAATACTGTAGAGCCATAGAAGTTACTCTGTAATATATTAATCATTTGATAAAATAGAATAAAAATAAAATATAAAATAAGTACCTTCTTTATATTATTTATTTCCTCTTCTGACCATTCATGTCTATATTTTCGTAAAAAATTAGAAAATAAATTGACTTCTTCCTGGCGGTCTTTGACAGGCAAGCAAATTTGATTGTGAGTTCGCCAGATAAAAAAGTCACAACTTGTCATTAAACGTGGGTTATAGATACAAAAAAATTTAGCTAGTGCACTAGCAACTGATTCTGAAGAATCTGGGTAGGTTTTACTTATGGAGTTTTTTGTAGAAGAGCTTGGACGGGGTCTAAGATAATGATCTTTTCTGTTTATGGTATTTAATGTTTTATCTTTCAAGGGCATATACATACTTATTTAAAGAGTTTGCGATATGTTGAACGCAAGAGGGTTTTATAATTGAAATTTTTATAAAATCGCGTACAAAAAAACCTTGTCACGTAAAAAAAGGCATCTGTCAAAATTCCAGAAAGGGTAGTATTACTGTACAAACTAGTGTTACGGCCTAAACCGAAACTTTCGGCCAGGCGAAACTTCCGAAACCTCCGAAACCTAGTTTCGCCCATATAGGATAACTTTCTTCTGATTGGTCAATCACTTACAATTGTATTTATACAGTTTAAAGTACATTTTAAGAATGTAACATTTCACAAGTAAAAAATAAAAATTAAACTCATCGCTATCTTCGAAGAAGTGCCAACAGCCACTATGCAAAATAATCCCAAATAATCCCGCACCTAGAGGCACCTTACCTAGAAGGTAAAATTTCTACGTAGGTTGTGACTATAGAACTATATGTAATAACTAAATTGTTAAATACAGCTGAGTTATTTAAAGAAAACTAACAGTACAACCACTTTTTTTTTAATAATAGATAAGCGATTTCCAAGCTATGTTAAAGAGGTTTAAAGCATAAAGAGTGTTAATACATAAGAATAGAGTTAGTAATAAAAGTGGTTAAAACTTTATATACGTGTATATATATAGAGATTAATGAGTCTTATCATAACGAGCTTTGGGTATAATAAACGATAGATCCTCAAATACTATATTAGTTCGGTATAAAAGGTGTAATAGACATTTTAAAAATACATATATAGACCTGTTTTTTTCTTTATTCTTTTGTTAAAGTGAGAAGCGATAGAAACTAATTAAGTTTACAACGAATATGATGGTTTACGAATATGATGTATGCTTCACAATTAGCCAATAATAACGTGTTATTCAATTTCATGTGACGACCATTTTGTTATTTTACGTAATGCTTAAAGGTTAATAAAGTTATTAGTTCGATCATTACGACATTTCTAGTAGCATTACAAATTATGATTGCATTTTGTATTAGCTAATTTGAGTCTAATAGAATAAACGAGTTATTCATTGTAAATAAAAATGGGATTCTCTTTTTGTTCAAAATAAAATAAATGATCTCTTTATTTTAATGCTATCGCTAAAATGTATGATTTTAGGCTGACAAAAAAAAACGTCAATGTCAAATATTCTTTAATCATTTTGGTTTATTTACATATATATTTTAATTAAATATATCTGTTCATCCTAAGTAAAGCCACCCGTTTCTGGTTTTTAGAGCGACTACGTGGCGCAGCTACCTAATTTTAAATTTTGTTCGATGTACCTAACGCTAAGTGGTCACAAAAATTAGTGATCATCAGATCAATCTATACGACAATCGATTTCTTTCTTTTCCTGGGCTACCAAAATGTCCAACCTTACAAGACTCACTACTTTGAAAATAATATTTCGTGGAGCTTAGAAAGCTTTTTACAGTGGAGCCTGTTCTATGCTAACGACTTTGATGGAAATAAAGATAAAGAACATCGACTTTATAGGACACATTTAGAAGCAATCTATAATGATCCGAATTTATTGAAGAACCGTGATAGCGAAAGTCTGCAAAAGTCTGCAGAGGCTTTAAAAAATTTTAAGGTTCGGAAGTTTTTATTTAAATCATGAAGAGTGTGTTACTAGCTCAAAAGGTGCTAGGATACGTCTGACAGCCCGGTGGATACGTCTAGCGGGGCACCTTAGGATACGTCTGAATTGGGCACAACTTCGAACTGCTCTTTATGAAATTTGGTTTATTACTAATTTACCCAGAGGTGCTAGGATACGTCTAACAGCCTGATGGATACGTCTATCGGGGCACCTTAGGATACGTCTGAATGGGTTTTCTCTATCTTATTCATTTAGATGGAAGCAGGCTCTGTTCGAGTTACAGAGTTCTGGAAAAAAAGTCCGTCTTTCTTAGAAACTTTGAAGATAGCAATAAACCTTAATGCTGATAAAATGGTTTCTCGAGTAGCAGAATTACATGATGACTTCAGCAATACAATTTTTAATGTCACTCAGAAACAATTACAATTACGTTTTGGTAATCCATTTAGAAATACATATAATCTTTTCTGTGTATAATAATAAATACTGATACCTATAAATTTATTTTTAGGGCATAAACGATCTCATTCTCACGAAGAAAATTTTCTGGAGCCACAAAAAAAAAAAATATTACCAGAAAGAGGGGTGGGGAATGTATTACCTGATGGCACAAAATTTGAAAAGGCGACTCCTCTTGATTTAGTACAGTCGGATGATGATGAGCATCTCTTTCAAGGAGATAACGATGAAGATGAAGACATACCTGCTCTAAAAGACACAGCTGTCAAGAATTTAAAAGAATGGATTTTACCTTCAGGGCAGAATGTAGGTAAAATTATTGAAGAAAATGTATCTGCCAACGCAGAAAAAGCCAAGAATAAGAAAAAATTGACGATATATGAAAAGGCCATATTAAGATATGGTGTATCAAACATAATCGATTTATCTGTTATGAATGAATGGTTTTCCGTGAAGGATATAAAATTCATGGCAAAAGATTATATTGATCTGTTAAACGTTCCTCAGTTGCCAGCAGAAGAAAATACATTTATATCGAAAGTTGAAAGCGTATGTATCTTGTTCTGAATTTTCCTTGATATTAAGGCGTATTTATTCATTGTTTTTTTACAGATGACGCTTAAGGGAGATGCGAACGGTGCATACAAGTTTTGCATTGAAACTCATGTTAATTCCGAAGAAAACAACTATATGTACAAAATAAGCAAGATATATTCCGAGTTGTAAGCAAATTATTTTATTGTTAAATTTTTTTTTTTTTGTGATTCTAATTCTTATTATTTAATATGTACAGCATTTATAGAAGTAAGAACAAAGTCGATATCCTGGATTATGCTGGAGATACGCACACAGAACTTGATGTCATTATGAAGGCTTTTGGATATATTATTGAAGGACTGAACACTGGTTTTGGGACTCATCAAAAATGGTTAGTAAAGACACGAAAGATTCGTTAACTTTGTGATCAAAACTATTATATTATTCTTACAAACATATTATATTCATGGATTAAGGGGCGAATCCTTCTGCCCATTAAGTAAGAGCAAAGACTATAACAAGGGTCGAAAATGTGACTTACGCTTTCTATCGATATCCGGAGTGGACTTAGGGGAGTGGGAATTTGCATCTGAAATAATCCCTCACAAGGTTGTTAGTGACCGTTGTAGATCTGCTAGAGTTAATCAGTCCATTTTGAATGGCTTGTTAAATCTCAATCTCACCGACGAGCAAGCTAAAAATATCAAAGTGCCCTTTGTGCAGATATGTGGCACAAGCGGTCAAATGTTAATTGAAGATTTGGTTGAGGGTTTCTATGTAGTATTTCCTGGACCGAAGTTTGAGCTTCCCACAAAGCTTCAGCATATTAAAAAGCTAAAATCTGCTGTTAATATTATAAATTTTATTATGGTAAACTTGATCCCATTTGTTATCAAAAAAAGTTTTGCATATCTAATCCATATTAATATTTTACATAGGATATATATGAGCAAATAAATGAAATAGCAGAAACTCAAGAAAACACACGCAATGGATTCAATGATATTTTTAGTGATAATGCCGATATCAAACCTATTCATTATAAGGCCAAATATATACATAAACCATGGTGGTCTCCCAAAAGTAAAAGATCATAATAGGAAATTCTTTTTTGCCATATAAAGGTCATATTTAGCTTTATCAAGCCTTATTGAAAATAATAAAAAATTTTTAGTAATTCTATATGTATATTGTTACGGTCAACTCTTGATAAACCGTGATTGTCGGTATAACATAAGTATCGGTATATTGAGTGGCGATCACTTCTTTTTTCATCACATATGGCTTATCGAGAGGAAAACGCCTCTTAATAATTCAGGTGCCACATGACACAGTTGATTTGGAAATACAGTATGTACAGTTGCTTCTTTTTATTTTTTTTCACAGTATTTACGTACAAAAATAAATGTGCTTTTAAAAATTAAAACAAAGTAAAAGTTTAAAAATAGAATAAACGAATGGATAAAGTTATACAGTATAAGTGTGGTACATATGTATCAGGTTCAAAATCGATTCTTGACAAAGTATATGAATTTGGATAGGTCATATTTATAAGTTAACAGAGCTTGAAGTAATTAGTTTTATAATTCGCATTTTGTTCTTAAAATTCAACTTATTCAATTCGGCATTATCAAAAAATATTGATAAAATATAGTAGTATAATAATCATTCTGTAAGAATTTCGCAAATTATTGCTGATGATTTATTCGTTATCTTTCTTACACAAAAAAAAAGTTAATTGATCTTTAAAAATAAGCAAACATGTACCGTCAAATTTATTTAATCTCTTATTAAGCACAATTATCATAATTCAAAAGGATAGCTATGCATTATTGAATCCATTAGCATTACAGTTCATAGGAAGAAGAGTGTCTGATTGGCTAACAAATTCAATTTAATTTTACATTATTTATACAGTTTAGAGTACTTTTTAAAAAAACCGAAAACTAATCATAATGAAAAAAAAAATAACTGTATAGAAGGTTTCATTAGAGCCGTAGGACTCCATAGCCAAAAATAAGATCTAATGCTCGTCCGTTTAAAAAAGTTAGTAAAATGATAACTTTTTTTTTTTTTTTTTTTTTTTTTTTTTTTAATTTTAAGGGCAGTCTCACCTGTGTGTCTTTTTATTAGTAGTAGTATAAGATTACATATTATATACAGAGTATATCAACGAAAGTACAACTAGTCACACGTATAACTTTAGTCATTATCTAATTAAGGGTTTCACCCATAGGTTACCTACTAGATGTCATAATTGAGACCCACTTGTGAGTCTCCTATTTAAACTTTCTGATTTTCAACACTTAATTGCATATATATATAATGTATACCACCATGTTTATGACAGAACAGGTTAGGGCTATCTAATTACTATTTATATCTAAGTCCCACCTCATTGGATGTTACTAGTGTTGGGATTTGTTTAACTAAATATCCGGATATCTGCAGATCATCTGGATATCTGGATACTTAATTTAATTTGTGGATGTTAAATCCGAATGCCTATTAAAATATCAGATCCATCTGGATAATCATCTGGATAGTTATATAATATTATGAGTGATATTCGAATAATTAACCATGATTGGTCGTATGTTATAAAATTTATTAGAATAATTCTACTGCATCTCTAATAGTAATATTACATAAATAATCATATAACAATCAGTGCTCTTATCATTTTGATAATAATATTATCATAATGACTAGAATACTGGTAGTTACATTATTAATTATGTAATATTATGATTCATCAGAGAATAAAATTTTATTTACAGGCTTTCTCCCTTACGCACCTATCTATGACAAAATCTCTTGAAATTATTATTTACACGCATAAGATATTATGCTTTATTAGTAATAGTATTGGATTGTATAAACAATTGCACCATCATTATTAGTTTATGTGTTGTATATTAATTCTATAACTACTATACAAAATTTTATTCTGGGATTATATTAAATAACAAGTATTTTGCAGTTAAATAATTTGGTTAGCTTTTTCAGAGCAAAGCAATTAACTAATTTAGTTTTTCTTAGAAGAAATCACATTTGAAAAGTATATGCTCTTATATAATATGTTTCTTTTTAATATGAAGATAAACTATTTTTAAGTATAATTATATACAATAATGCAAATATCTACAAGAAGGAATTGTTTTTTATTAAAATTAGAAACCTGTTGTTTATATGCATTCAATTTGGCATACGTAGTGATTGTTTCAAACTAAGATTTATTAACTTAATTGAAGATTTTAACCCCTAGCATATATTTATAACCTCAATCATGTATTAATTATATTATCAATACATTTTCAAAACTAACTCATAATAGAAAAGAATTTTTAGTATAATAGCAGAGTATAATGAACATTTGTAGGCTTCTTAAATTATTTACATAGAATGCATATAATAGATATATAGAGGTTGAATAGAAGTACAAATATGTGATTTGTATATTTTATAAATAAGTAATCTACTGTATTAAAGTGAAACTATATACTTACAAACCAAATCATTTATACTGATAAAATGTGAATTTATAGAGTGTAAACTTATTTATACGTAAACCCATAGCATACTATAATTTATAAAGTATGAATTTTAAAATAAAACTTATATTTATTTATGAATATAAAGTGTTAAATCAGATTATTAATAAGGATTTAAACATGAAATTACAGTGTAAACTAATTTATTTGTGAATGCAGTTACATTAAAACGAAACAAAATTAAAGTATAATTCAAATCAATTTGTAAGCCAATTTATACTTTAAAATTAAATATAAAAAGATCTGTTATTAATAGTAAAAAAAATTATACAGTAAAAAAAAAACAAAAACTTCAATAAAAAGCAAAAAGTTGTAAAATCAAATACTGAATCTCAAGAAACTACCGAATTTTCAAATAATGAAAGTATTGAAACTCAGTTTGATAATGAAGAAAGTAAATCTGATACTAGTGAAGATCCATCCCAAAATTTTAAATCTATTCCAGATGGATATAGACCTTTATCAAAGACAAGTGCAAGCAAATTAGGCAGTAAAGTTTGGAATTACTTTCAACCTTTAGAGAATATAGCAACTGGAAATCATATTGTATGGTGCCTATTAGAAGTTATTCAAAATCGTCAAAAGCAAACTTGTAATACAATTTGTAATACAGGTGGATCAACAGAAAATATGTGGGATCATCTTTCAAGTATACATAGTATTACTAAAAATTCAAATCTAAAATCAAAAGATCAACAAAAAATTAGTATTATGTTTAAAACCTCAGCTACTAATTTAAAGCACCAAACAAAACAAAATCAATTTTTAGTTGAATGGATTATTAATAGTGCACAAGCATTAAGAGTTGTAGAATCAGAAAAATTTAAAGTATTTATTGCTAACTTGGATTCTTATTATGAACTGCCTACCCGTAAAGCTATTAAATCAATAATACACACAGCTTATAATTTTTCTTCTAACATTTTAAAACAAAAGTTAAAAAATACTGCAATTTCATGTTTACTTACATGTGATCTTTGGACTAGTAGAAACCATGAAGCATATCTTGGTGTCACTTGTTATTGGATTGATCAGAATTTTAAATTAAATGAAGTTTTGCTTACTATTACACTCTGTTCCTATCCTCATACAGCAGAGAATATTCATGATGACTTAATTAAAATTATGAATAATTGGGATATATTAAATAAAGTAAATACAATTACTACTGATAATGCCCAGAATATGGTTAAGGCTCTTAAATTAATAGAAGTATAAGGTATTAGTCAAGTTAAATATATGGCTTACACACTACAATTAGTTGTAGAAAAAGGTTTAATTTCAGTCAAAATTCTTATTGCTCATACAAAAAGACTACTTGCATTTTTTATGTCTCCAAAGCAATCAGAAAGACTTGAAGATGTGCAAAAAAAGTTGCTAATTTCTGAAGATAAGGTTAGTTTTATATATTTGGTCAATTGCAATTTAAATCTTAATATATAATACTAGTATAAAAACTAGATTTTAATTATATATATATATGCAGTATAATTAATTACAGGTTTCGCATACCAATTTCATACAAACTGGCAATCAAATTTGTACATACAGCTAAATCAGCTAAATTAATATCCTAATTAAATAGTGATTTCTTATGATCTAGTAATTATACTCATGTATTTTTAGTACTATTGGATTCGTCATGACAAGACAAATCTAATGGTACTAAAATTACATAAATATATTTACTAGATCATGAGAAATCACTATTTAATCAGGATATTAATTTAGCTATACGTACAAATTTGATTATCAGTTTGTACGAACTTGGTATGCAAAACCTATAACTAAATTAAGCATTATTGCATTATTGTTATTATAATTAAACTATATATATATATTATATTATTTAATATTAGTAATAAAGTATAATGTTAAATTAATATAAAACCTATTTATTTATTTAACTAAAAGTATTTAGTACAAATTAGTTATAGAATACAAAATTCATAAAACTAATTAAAATTAAATTTTTTATTTGTTAGATACTTAGAAAGACTCATAAGTATTTATGCATTATTCAAAATATTGAAACAAGATGGAACTCTTCCTATCTTGCATGGAGATGTCTTTTGCATTTACAAAATGCAATAAATTTGGTAAAAGTAACAATTGCACAATCTAATGATCTCCAAACACGAAAAGAATCAAAATGCCTTCAACAAATAATGCTTACTGATTCTGAATAGAATGCAATTAAAGAATTAGTAATTATTCTTTGTCTATTTGCTAAAGCATCAACTTATTTAGGTGCTAGCAAATCATCAATGATTGAATTTATTAATCCTACCTTATCACATATCAAGCAAGATTTATATAATGAAAATTCTATATTGTATGATCTACCGGATTTAGAAAACTCAGATATGGCTTTTGATAATAAAATTGATGAAGATAATGAGTTTGTAATTTTACATAATCATAAACTAAATATTAATATTCCACAAGATTGTGATAACTTGGAGATAAAAGTACAAGTTACATTGTACAAGGTAATTATTATTAGTATAATTCGATTATTTAAAGTTGATTAGCTAGTTAGTATTATCTTATTCATTAGTAATCTCTCTAAAGTTTAAGGTTTTAGCACAAAATCCCAACATCTAAAATCTCGAAAACCATAATCCCGACATCATGCAATGTGATAATTAAAATTTAAAGATTGCCAATAATTGTTAATGTGATTACTAATCTTCAAATATTAATTATTATATAGTGTGATGTTGGGATTATAGTTTTCGAGATTTTGAATGTTAGGATTTTGTGATAGAACCAAAGTTTAAATACTCTATGATAAAATATATATTTATTTAAATCTCTTTTATACTTAAATTTAAAATATTGATAATATATTAACTAATCAACTTTAATAGCTTTGTAAAATAAATATAAGTAATCTAAAAAATATTGATAAAGCAAAAAATTATAAATTTATTAGTATTATTTACTTTATCAAAATTCTTTAAATTATTTATATTTATCTTATATTTTTTAAAACTTTAATCTTACTTATCATATATAATTTTAATTTATTTAGGCTTTTGAAACATATTGGAATTCTCTAGTAGATGATGATTTATTACTTACATTATTAGACCCACATCACAAACAACTCAAATTTGCAGATTCCTTAGATCGGAAATATGCTGAAAATATTTTAAAGTGTATGTATAATAATAAGCACAACCAAAATTTTCAAGAAACTTCGCAAATGGCAAGTATTTTGGAATCTTATAGTTTAGATGAAGAATTATCTGCTAAATCTCTTAGAAAAAAACTTCTTTCTCTACCTCAAAATGATAATAATGATGAAGTTAAAAATTATCTTCAGCTTAGTGAAATTGATGTAGAATCAGATGTTTGTAATTGGTAGGTTACGCATAAAGATAAGTTTTCTACTTTGGCTATTTTTGCTCGTAAAAATTTAGCTATTCAAGCAACTTTAACACCAAGTGAGTGTTTATTCTCTAATGCTGGAATTGTACTGAGTAACCATTGAGTAAATTTAAATCCATTATTGTTTGAACATATGTTATTCTTAAAAAGAAATTCAACTTATTTAAGAAATTTTTGGCCAGCAAATGAGTAAAATTTATAAATTTAATTTTATTCAATTTAATATATAAAATTTTAGCTTATTTGATATATAGAAGAGAAGTAAAATATATTTATAGAAGGAAATAAGATGGATTTTTTGGGGTTTTTTTATTATAAATTTATTATTGATTATATTTTATTTTTATTCATTAATATTATTAAATAAATTAAAAAATATGAACAATTCACATACCAAAAGATGAAGCTTAGTAAAAGTTTAAAGAATTATTAAAACTTCAAAAGTATTACAAAGTTACTAGATCTGTAGTTATTATTAAATAATTTCTCTAGAATTATTTTATCACTTTTTGGTAGAATAGATTTATCGATTAATACTAGAATAACTACTAAGTCTGCCTTACTGTTATAATTCTTAGCATATTATAGTAATTTTCTGGTTTTGTTCTAGCAGTAGCAGAAGGTCTAGTTTTTTAATTATTGGCAAATACTTTTATAGTATTTACTAAATAAGTAGCTGTGCAACACAGTTGCATGAAGCCAGAAACAGATGACAACTCCAATACAGAATAGCTGTATAAGTTATAGTTTTGAATTCTGATAAATAAATATTGAGTATAAAACTAAATACAGCATAACTATATTGATATGTTATACTATAATTTAAACAAACAAAAAATTTCATAATTTTTAAATGTATATAGTATAGAGTGTAAAATACCCCTTTAAAAAAATATTATAACAACATACTACAATTTTCTAATGCTAACCTTAATAATACATAACACCAAAACAGATATTAAAAATAGGGTATTTCACACTCTATACCATATGGATCTGTTCATAATAATCTGCATAATTTAGAAATGATCTTGGCAAATAATAATTATATATACTAACACAAGTTGAACCAATAGATATCACGTATATGCTGGAGACAGATATCTTACTTTTAGTACTCTGGGCCTAAAAGTACCAATATTTTGCTAATATATTACTGATATCGATTTACCTCTAAATATCTTGCCAATATGCTGCTAAAAATGCTGCTAATATTCAGAAAGTATTTGGCAGATCCATAGCCGACTATCAGGTACATATACAGAAACTTGTCTTCTAGTTATGCATCTGATATTTATTAATTCAACCTGTGTAATATGGATAAGAAGTTGAATGAGATATGAGCAGTGTAGATTAAATACTTAGACCAATAAATAATCATTAAACTTAGACTAAGAGTGCTCAATATGAGTAGATAGCTATCAAAATTATTCATAAGTACTATGATTAATGGAAGTAATGTCTACTGTAATTTTGCTGAAGTCTATAACAAAAAAGATCACTTTAACCCTTTTTTTTATAATAATGAACCTACTTACCAGTTAAATTACTTTCCACCAATTAAAAATTAAGTTCTGACTAATAATTTATGTACTTGTGAGAATCTTAAATCATATGAATAAAATTGAAATAAGAAATTAATTAATAGATATATTAATTGATAATGTTCAATTGAATAAATAAGAAAATACTTAATTGAAACAGTTTTACTACAAAATCCTGACTTCCAAAATCTTGAACCCATAATTCCAGCATGACAATTAATATTTAAAGATTAGTAATCACATTAACAATTATTGTCAGACTTTAAATGTTTAATTATCACATCACATGATGTCAGTATTATGGCCTATCGAAATTTTGAATTTCAGAATTTTGTGATAAACCCAATTGAAACATCATATGAAAACCTGACATTATTTCAAAGAATTTTGTAGACCAATTTCAATCCATTAAAGTTTTTTAAAGCTGTTAATGCTTGTATGGCTTCTTTAAATACTATTGCTTTAAAATCATCATTACTGTAGTAATGTTCGATATTATTTACTACAACTTGAGCCATGGCCAAGTCATGTTCTAGCCATAACACAATTCATGGCTTCAATAATCATCATTATGATTTAATCCGAAGCTATGTGATTTAGTTGCAACTAATGCTTAGTCATAACTTAAGTTGCAGCTCACTAGCTTTGGTCATCTTGGCTCCATTGTGCATGACAGTAAATCCGGATTTGGTTAGTTCTATTCCGAAAAACAATAATAAAAAAACTATTGATGTCATTAACTTCAGACAAAAACCTGTTAAAGCAATAAAAATATAAGTTGAACATTCACTATAGTTAAACAAATTTTATACAGTATTATATATAGTAATGCATAGCTAGCATTATCGCATCATAATAATATTATTATGTAATGAAGAAGGAATCATGTAAACTGATTTCAGCCATTACAAATTAAATTCAAAACTTTTGTGCCAAAATCTACATTTGGTTAGTGAATTCTAAAAGACAACAAGTGCATTTTTATAAATGATCGTTATGCACTTTAATTGAGACAAAAACTTGTTAAAGATACATTCGCACAGTACAAGATATAAATATGGTAGTACATAATGCATTTTGTAATGTTTAAGTACAAATATTCATGGTTTTACTGCATTTAGCACATTGCCCAATCAGATGAGATTTTTGCAGATGTACATCATTAAAAATGCCTTCTAACCAGAAAACCAAGACAATAAATAGCAATTGTTGTAGTTAAATCGATGGCCAGACAAGTAAGGAATTTAACACATTATTGTAAATAATATTGCTCATACAATAGAACAATGTTTTCGGGAGATTATACCACATCATCTTATTGCAACACTAAGCAGCATTTTCAATGCTTGGTTCTATTACAAAATCCTAAAAACCATTTTCCAAAAGAACAATATTGACTAAATTAGGCAACATTATAACTAATGCCAGCTAACTTTGTTAGTATTAAGTCCTTTCAGGAATCTGTCTTTCAGAATTTTGTGGTAAAACTATATTAAATAATTTAAATACTATATAATTACAGATATATTCAAAGAATATACAATATTGTAAATTTATATATAAAATCGGGATATATCAGATGAATATCTGGATTCTATATTTTAATTTAGAAGGATATCCGGATAGATGTTTTTTGAAACAGATGTTAATCCGGATATCCGAATTGTTATCCGGATCCCAACACTAATAAAATTAGGCAAAGAGTCAGCCTTTGAGAAAGGGCCGAATGGAACCAACCAGGCCACCAGGATTTGTTCTGGAAGAAAAGGTTACATGCTGGCAAACATGTAAACCTGAAATGTATGGTTATGACCTGCTTTTTCAGGCTATTTGGTTTAGAAGTCTAATAAAACTTGAATTAAATACTAAAGTAGTAGGAATATGTTGTGAAGTTAGTACCAGGATTGAGGTGAACTCTACAAGGGCATAGCAGTTTAATGGTATACCCTGATCACTAGTGTTGGTTTTGGCCATAATGATACCAGGTCAACTGTAAGAATGAAATACAGAAGATTTCAGAAGGTTTAGTACAAGGTCAAAGGTTTCCTATATAAGTGAACTACTTTAAAGACTTAGTAACTATAATATATTTTCACTAGCATTGGCTAAGGTTATTAGTAGACAGAAGTAGATAGGTGAATACAGAAACAGAGTGGTTAAATAGGGAACCTACAAGTAGGTTCCAGGTATGGCAACTAGTATAAAACCTTTGTGTAGACTACTTAAATTAAACAATAACTAAAGTTGTACAAGTGACTAGTTGTACACTCTTTTTATAGTTGCCTCTTATGGTTGTAAAGTATCCATTAGCCAAATAT